ACAGGCAAAAATAGTGCATGACTTGGCATTTTAAAGCAGATAATAAAACTTTCCTTAAATACAGCTCTCATCTCAGAGTGCTTTTTAGCTGCCCTTAGTGGAGTCAATTATCTCCCCACACTTGCTATTACTGAGACACTCTGAGCACCTTGCGCCTGAAAAGGTCTGTACACCATACTTTCTCAAAAATGTCACATTTTTAAATGCCTCTCAAATGTAGACCCTGCAATATCAGAAATGGCACACACGTGGTTTCTTTCATCCATTTGTTGCTTAACCAAGCCTCTTCACCGGGCCTGATGAATTCAAAGTGAATAGTAAATATCCTTCAAAATCAGAAACCATGTAGCCTGTTGTATACTGATGAGTTACTTTCCAAAGCAGAAATGAAGATTGTTATGAACAATGCTTTGAACAGATGCTAAATACAAGTGTTCTTTCCTTGCTAACATAATAGAGGAAAAAATGCTTGTATTACTTTGTCATATCAGTACTTTTGTTACCATGAAATGCGGCCCTGCTATTGGCCTAGAGGTTCTCCTATTTGATTGTTTTAAACTAACCGTTAGTTAGTTTATGTCTTCTTTATAATCAGCATGTTGTGGTTGGGGATAGCATTGAAAAATGTTAAAACAACAGAGATACATTAGCTTCTGAAAAATGACTAATCTAGGCAAAAAAAGGTAACTGAAGAAAAGAAAACTTTCATTTCATATACACTGTCTTTTGACAATCAATTTAGCTTTGCTCATACAATATGAAACTCTCTGAAATTCTGCTTTTGATTATTTTGACTTACTGTCTAAATAATTAGGATGAAATGATTCAACCTCTCACTGATCATTCAAATCTAACCCCACACAGAAGTTTGGCTCTCAACTGTCTAAAGAAATCATCTGCAGTTAAGAACAGAATTATGTCTTAATTCACAAGGCTGATCATCAAATCAGCTTGGTATTTTATTTCACTTAATCACTCTAATTTAGCTCTTTTTAATGCTAGACAGTCTATTTCAGTAAATTTATTTTGTATACAAGTGTTTTTTAGACCGTAGTAACTGCAGTGGCTTTAAAATGTAAAGGTAATTAAGAGGCAAGAATTGTATCACTTTTTTTCCCCACGTAGAAGTACTTCATGTGTTGGAAACAGGACTGGTTGTTGTAAAGAATTCTTTTGAATGGAACCAGAATCACGTTAGTATCACTGATATTATCGGTAATTAAAAAGTGCTTTCTACTCTTGCTGATCACGCCAAGTGCTTTTGCACGATAAGCCCAATTCATCCATACACAAACACTCAACAAAACCTTTTTCTATGGAGTGTAGTAGGAGTAAGTTGATGGATTAATTGTGTGTCTTGTGTGTGAGATTCAGTGTTTCCACTATGACCTTTATAATTCCCTACCTCTGCAACAGAATCATTAAGGAAGTATTTGCTCCATAGAAAAGTTTAGTAGAACTCCAGAGTAGATTTGAAAGATATGAAAATTCAGATGTACTTATTAATTAGTTCGAGAGGCTGTCAAACATATGCAATGCAATATTATTCCGTACAAACAAACAACTAGACAAAATCTAAACCAAAATATGTGGGATAATCTCATTGTGATAATTCATAAATGTATATTAAACATATACAAACTTAGTATAGAAAATAAGGAAATTTGTGTTTGGTTGATGTTTGTTCTAACAATTCTTCTTGGTAATGCATTTTATATTGCGTTAGTTGTTTTCCATGAAATGGTGCCACATTTTTCAGGAAAATGCATTTGTGGGTTGAAGAGTTGAAGAGCAGGGTTGATCATGTGAGTTGCACCCATTAAATGCCATGCCATGCTTGGAGAAAATTCTCTTGAGTTTCTCTGATAAACTGCTACATAAGGAATGACAGTGTTCTTCCGTTCGTCATTCTGTTTCTCCCTAGTTGGTGTGACCCTCTTTCCTGTGCATCTTTTCCAATTTGATAATGGCCCAGTTGGAACAACACATTTTGAGAGCTTTCTTTAAAAGGGTGTGTTCCTTTTCCTTCCCTTTTGCCTTACAGAAATTATCTGCCTGGTGTTGTAGGGTCCTGATTATCCCAGTCTTGTGTTCCAGAGGGTGGTGGAAATCAAAGAGCAGGTACTGGTCTGCCTTTGCGGACTTCAATACACTTCAATGTTTAGACCCTCATCCTTCTTAATGTGCACAGTGCAGTCCAGAAACAGCTATTATCCTTGATTTCTTCCCTGGTGAACTGTTTCTATCCACTGAGTTGATGTGAACATTGATGGTGACCCAGGTATCATCCACATATCACCAACAGCTTTACTTTCTCCATGTAAAAGTTAAGTACTATAGAAAAAACACCATTAACTATGGCACAATTTAAAGGGAAATAAACAGGCTTTCCAAACATATAAGATTTACTGTGATTTACAACAACAACAAAAAAAAATCAACAAACACAATTTCTTTACCTTTGTGCTAACTTTATCTTTAGTATGTACCTGATTTTACTTCAAGTGGAATAATAGAGGTTTCACTGAACTATCCTGACAGTGAGTAGGGAAACAGGAGTTCTCATGCTGATGTTTATAACTATAAATTACTCTAACCCTGACAACGCACAGATGACAAAGGGACCGCTCAATGATGAAAATCATACTGTATAAATGATTAATTAATATGAGAGCGACTTTTTAAAATGTATGAAAGAATGGCCTATAATCAGTTTATTCTGCATGAGTAAGTTATCAACAGTTTTTCAATCTGCATTTCCTCGAATATTAATTAATTAATTAATTAGATATACCTTTATTAGTCCCACAAGGGGAAATTTCATAAGGCTGCTGACCTATTGCACGCAATGGCGGCGCCATCTTACCCTCCGACAATGGAAAATGCACCACATGAGGAAAGATAAGGAGAAAAAATAACTCCCCCCAGAGTGAGCTCCAACAGGGAGATCAGTTTGAGAACAGGAAAAAA